ACCTTGAACAACGACGTGGAAATAAAAACCAGAATAGAACAAGCGAGAAATGCATTTTTAAAAATGAAGAACGTCTTACAAAACCCCAGATTGGACATTGAGTTGAGAACTAGGCTCGTTAAGTGTTATGTTTGGTCAATCCTATTATACGGAGCAGAAACATGGACACTGAAAGTTCAAGAGATGAATCGCCTCAAATCGTTCGAAACATGGATATATCGAAGAATGCTTAAAATTCAATGAACAGCCCATATCACAAATACCGAAGTCTATAACAGAATAGGCAGAGAAAGAGAATTGCTCAATATAATAAAAATAAAAACATCATACTTAGGGCATATATTGAGAAATAAAAAATACCACGTCTTACAATTGATAGTTAAGGGTAAGATTGAAGGAAGAGGTCTCGGCAGGAAGAAACTATCTTGGTTAAGAAACATCAGAAACTGAACTCACCTAACTTTTGAAAAACTCATAAGGAAAGCCAAGAATCGTGAAGATTTTGCCAATGTGTTCACCAACCTACACGGAAGAGACGGCACGTAAAGAAGAAGAAGAAGATGGTCCATTTTATAGTGTCTTTTAAAGGCTGTGTTAGTAGTATAAATAAACATAAGATGAATAATAAAGAAAAATTTCAAAGTCAGTGTTTTATAGTCAAGATCATGCATTCTCTTAAAATTCCAAACAAGTCTTTGTACATTTCTTTGAATGAAGACAATGATTCAGTATTGAAATTGAAAGAATTTGGGACTTCCATTGTCTATATTTATTTTTTTTTCAGTCAAACCAGTCTGAAGCAACTAAGAAAGGAATAGTTAAAACTTTATGTCATCGAGCAAACACCATATACATTGACCAAGCATCACTAAATAATATTAAAATGGATTTGTTTCAGAATGGTTACTCTGAGAAGTCCCTAGACAAAATTATGTCAAATTATAAAACTCATTGGTCCATCGTTCATTCATTCATAATTCTATCTCTCTCTCTTTTGACTACTCTATACATAAAAGAAAAGAGCAGGCGAATAACAAAAAAAAAGTTAAAGCTAAAAATTCTTCAAGTCTCGATTGACACTAAGAAGCGTCCTAACAAAAATAAGGCCATAATCACTGAAGCAAGAGAAAGAGTACTCTACCAGGTACCTTGTGAATGCGGTGAGTCATATAATGGAGAGACTAAATGTCCTCTAAATGTGCGACTTAGTGAGCACAAAAAAAAACATGTACAAAAAGGTGAAACAATGAAATCAATAACGAAGAAACAACACCGTCGTGTTAATCACAATAAATAAAGACAAGGGAAGTTCGAAATCCTTTTAGTTCCTTTGTACATTGCCTCAAATCACAAAAGAATATTTCAGGTAGTAATGAATTAGTAACTAAGAATTATTCAACCAACTGTATTATGCTTACACAAAGAGATAATTAAACAAGAGAAAAATGTATTTTTAGGCATGTATTGAAAAAATTGCTATTAGCAGAAAATAATAAATTACCACATTTTATCGCAGACTAGTTTTCCTCCTCTCTTATTGGCACGTTTTAGAGGAATGATTAATAACTCTAAATCTGAGTTGATACATTCATTGTGAAATAAATATACTCTGAGGAATATATTAAAATTTTCCACAAATTCTTGGTTCATTTAATTCCCCCATTCTCGCATGGACGTACATCTCTAAACTTTTGCAATGACTGGGGGGAGATTTTCAACAATAGAAAACAACGAACATCAAATGTCATTACAACAATGCCTACGTCATCCTTTATTCAGTTCAACAATGCTCCGTTGTTTTTTGCAATCGTAAAAAAACAATCAAAAACAGATTGCAAATATAGAGAATGAGTTTGATATGTATAAACGACGAATTTCTTCAGTTTTGACATTTGATCCATTCGTTTGTAAAAAAGTACATGTTTTGTTATTATATATTAAAATTCTTTATTTATTTTTATTTATTTTTAGTGTTCCATACTTCAAAAGGAAAAAATGGAACCCTTATAGGATCGCTTTGTTGTTTGTCCGTCTGTCTACCAAGACCCTATATCTGGGGACCGCACGAAAAGAACTTCTATGTTAACGTAAAAAAAACACGAACGTTTATGTCGCAAAAAAAGTGTTCAACATCAAACCATCAAAAAAGTCCTAAAAATCTAAACGCTTTGTGGTAATATATTTTTATTTTCATTCTTTAATAGAATTTTAATTAACGTAATATTTTTGTGCTATTTTAAAATATAAAGAGGCACAATTTATTTAGTTCAATGCTAGGAAAGGATGATAATAGTTAGTGTGATACATTAACAACAGCAAAAAATATGACGTTAATCAATGTTAACAATAACCATCTATCAAAGAATGAAATCGAAATTATATTGCCATACAAAGGCCTTCAGATTTTTAAGAGTTGGTATTTAGGATGTTTTTACTATTTTCTCTAAAACGGTATAAATTAGGAAAAGCTTAAACGACACTCACCATTTTCGAACAAGCAAAATTTTTTGTAAAAGAATGTATTTTTCTCAAAATGTCAATAATAAAAAAGGTTTTCTTCTTGTAAACACAATCCAGGGATACACTCTATTGTTTATTTAAAGTATATTTATAATATACACCTAAAAATTTGCACGGAACCCTCATTAGACTAATCGAACTCGCACTTGGCCGTTTTTTTTTAATAAATTATGTCCTTAAGATTGCCTGTACAAGAGGAAAAACATTTGTAATATTGATATTTTGAAAAAATGCATTCCTCGTAAAGATTTTTGCTTGTTGTAAAATGGTTAATTCCATTTATAATTTTCAAAATTTCCAAACCATCATAAAGAAAATTAAAAAACATACATGAAAATAGAGTTGCATATTTTCCTGACGCCTAAAAATCAAAATGCGTTGCATTTCGATTTCATTATTTGGTAGACAGTTTTTATTAACTTTAATTAAAGCCATGTGTTTTTTGTATCATATCATCTGTTGTTGAAGTATCATATTTCCGGAAAATTATTATCACCCTTTCCGCAGCATTAAACTATGTAAAGTTTGTGCTTCTGTAACATTTTAAATCAGACAAAAATTGACTAAAATGCAATAACAATCTATCAAAGAATTAAGACGAAATTATATTACCATGGAAAGGGGTTTTGAATTTTAGAACTTAGTTTAGAAAAATTATAAACGTTATTAACTTAAAATCTTATGAAGAATGCATTTTTCTCAAAATGGCAATAATAAAAAAGGTCTTCCTCGTGTAAAGAGAATCCGGGGATGTATATTCCTGAGGATATTCTGTAAATTTGAACCCAATACTACGAAGTTTTTATACAGAAAATAAAATTGAAAGCAATATTTTCTTTAATTGCTAAACAAACTTATTATTCTATACGTTAATGTACATCTTATTATTCTTAAATAACTCAACAAAGAATATTCGCAATTTATCGAAAATGCAGAATTTAATTAATATTCGGTTTTAATCAACGACCCTTTTAACTCTATGCATATTTAATACATATAATATAATAATGTTAAATATGGAGTTAATAAATTTGTCAATAATAATTCTCGTCGAATAAATTTATTAAATGTTTCATATTACTCAACCGAATTAAAATAAACATTTCCCAAATTCTGGAAGAAGAATTATTGCATCTCTAAATCATTTTGATAGACAAAATTTACTATCCCACAAATAAAAAATAAGTGTAATTTTGTTTTCAATGTTTTTTTTTGTTTATTTCTCTATAAGTTATTATAAAAATGGGATAAGATATTGGAAGAAACATAAGACTTTAAAAAGTCTGATTTTTTCGCCACTAGAAAAGAAAGAAGTCTACAAAATAAAATAGCTATTTTTACTATTAAAGCAGAGTTTAAAAACATAATTATTAATATAATTATTCAAGAACATTTCCGTTTTTAGCAGATACGTCTATAATAAACCGTTGACGTTTTGCTAAAGTGTACTGGAATGCTTGTATTGCACAAAAAACTGTCATTAAATATAAATTTATCGAACAGAAATCTCCTCCAAATTTTTCAACAAAAACAATTATCCGTACAATTACCCCTTTGCAATACTCGAACCCTTGTATATGTCTCGAACTAAATAACAAACGAGCGACAGTCAACAGTTTATTATCCTGCGGAGTTTATACATTTTGTAGGACCAGTTAGACCTATTATAATATTGTAAAACCCTAAAATTAAGTAATTAGTGCTTATCATGCTTTCACCTGGACCCTTCAATTGCTATAGTATAAATAAATGTATATATTTTACATAATTACTAATATGAAATAAAAGTTTTTTTTAATATTTCTCATTAAAAATTAATTGTGGTCTCAAAATACAGCACGCGAAAAAAATGAGGTGCCAGTACCGGAAGGCTAAGATTATCCATCGTTAAGTCGAACTAACTATTTATATATCCCAAACTCATCGTTAGAGTTTATACAAACTTCTAAACAATTATCACAATAATCGATAGCAAGTTTCCTAACGAAACCACTTTCGAAATTAAATTATTAATTGGACAAATTGATAGTTGGTTCTCGAACCGCAGATGTCCTTAATAGGATTAGTTAGTCCAACATCTCCTATATTATCAATCTTTTGCATAGAATGAACTTTGTTTGTGTCGGTCTGGTAGTTTCCAATGAACCCGGTAACTTTGTCTCGAGAACAGTTTGCTTTTTGCAAATGAATATTTTGCCTGTCGCAAAGATCCAATTTGAAAATAGCATTCTGTTTGCGGAGGATTAAACTGTCTACATGTGTATGTGGGTCTTAAAACCACCATACACTTTAGTTATTTTACTCGGTTTTAACTGTGCAGTTAAAGGTTATGGTAGAAAGCACGGGTAAATAATCTCGACACACTCTCCCATTTTGACCAGTTTATTTATCCACATCGTAGACTAGAACGAAAGATTCCAGAAAGAGCATGCAAACAGTATCAATAGTTAATATATAGAAGTATATCTATTACAACTTACCACAATAAGTGTATTTTCAGATCAGGATATATTAAAGGAATCGCTGAAATATATAAAAATACATTTATTAGAAAAGATATATTTAATATTAAATAATTTTTACAAATATTTACTGTTATAATTATTTGTTATTTTATTCTCTGTAGATTTTTCAAAAATTAAATTTTCAATTTTTGAAATTCTGGATTGTTCTAAATAAAAAATTAAGCAATTTATTAAATATATATCAGGTAAAAGTTGGTCCAATTACTTGTTGGAAATTATAAAACAGGAAACAAACATTTGTTTGGTTTTTGTTGGGTAACAGGCCAATTATGGATATACCAGAAATTTTAAACTTTTGCCTGCGAGTTAAATGAAGCATTTTAAAGAAAAAAAATATATTTACACAAATTCGTTTATTTTGTTTTAGAATTTTTATTTAAATTTTTTAAAATATGAAAATAAATTTCTTAGACTATTCTTCTTTACTTTTAGGCAAGTTGATTTGTAATACTGTGATTGATCATTAATGTCTTCTATTCCCGATAACATTATAGTTTAGATTTCATTTTTAAAATTGAAAGACTAATAATATAATAAAACTTTAAAAGAATTAAACCATTATAAGTAATGATTTTTTAGATCATCATATTTTTGTTTTTCTTTACATACTATTCCAAATGCAAGAAATATTTCGTTATCGTTAAGATTATTTTCCTCACATTCCTAAAAAAGTATTCGATCGATTTTCTAATAATTTTTAATATTTTTATTATTTATTATATTTTCTCGCAGATGTCCTTAATAGGATTACTTCGTCCAACAACATCTATATTATTAATCTTTTGCATAGAACGAACATTGTGTCGATCTGGCAATTTCCAAAAGACCTTGTAACTTTGTTTCGGTAACATTTTGCTAAATGAATGTCTGGCGCAAAAATTCAATTTTAAAATGGCATTTTCTTTACGGAAGATTGCAATGTGTTTTACCTTAGGGGCAAACTGTTTTGGTTAAGAATGTAATTTAATTTTTGTCTTCTGGTTTGTTTATCATGCGAAGAATATTTTTGAAGGCAAGATTATTATGTTGTGATAGACATGTAAAATTAGGTTGTGACTCGTTTTCGAATTTTTTTTCTAGCTAATAGATACCCCTATTGTACATATTTCATTTAAATACCTAAAAAAACAAACCGAACTGTTAGTTACACCATTGGCGCATCTAGAGATAGTCTCGGAGGGTAATGACAAGCAATCTTAATATCTCTCATTAGGGAGGAGATATTTGCAGATAGCGGTGACTTTTTGAAAATTTTATGCTCTATTTAACAGTATAAAAAGAAACATAAAATGCCATTTGGAAGAAATGTACCTACTTCGATTGGTTTACATTTTCTATTTTGATTGGTATTAATAACTTCTTTTGGAAAATCTTTCTAAACTAATCGAAGAAAGTTAAGGATATTGTCATTTTGCTAGGAAGAAAATTTTTCAGAAAAAATGTGTTATAGCTATTAATACCTACATATGTCGTTTGTGTTTAAGAAAATATTGTTTTTAAACATAAAAAATTGTACTCAAACAAGTAAAAAGCATTATCATCAAAAATGTATATTTAATTTTTGTTTAGAATAGATCTTGGTTGCGTGTTGCTGAGCGGCAGTTTGCGATATTGTGGTTATTCTGTCATCGATAATATGAACAGACTAATAATACGTAGACTTTAATAATAGAGGAAGCAAATCAAGCGATTGGGTTGGTTCTTGGCGGTGCGCGGCAGATCGATGTGGCTGATCGATTTAAAGTCATCTAAAGTGTAATTTCTAGGCTTAAAACCCGATTTAATGAGACTGGCTCTGTCATGGTGAGGCATAGGGGGGGGGGTCGACCAAGGTCGACAAAAGCTAGGGAGGACCGAAGCTTACTTAGAGGAGCTAGGAAGGATCCTGGAAAAAACTACACATTGCTCAGCCAGGACATTTTGGCTGCCAGCAGAGTTCGTATTACCCCTCGGACGGTCTTAAATCGATTAAAAAAGCAGGTTTGATTAAAAAAAGCAGGCATCGGGAGAGTAGACTATGTAGAAACCAAATCAGTTTTGTGATTTTTATAATTCTGACCTTATTTTATACATTTTTCAGTTAGAACATTCACGAGCCAATTCCTAAATAAAATCAAATTATAATATATTTTCTTTTAAGTTGCGCTGCCATGTTTTTCCTTTGCATTTTCCTCCGCTTTAAACCTCTATGTTAACAGTCGCTGCGATTATAGCTATGCATAGTTCATTAAATTGTAATAAACTAAAATAATTTGCGCCAACAGCCAAAGTAAAATGTTAAAAGCTAGCACGAAATTACTGGGCCAAAAGTCAGGCTCCTACGATCGGAGTGGCGGAAGCCGTAAACAAAACTTTGCTTCGCAAAATTAAATTTGCTACTACACGTACGTTGCATTAAAATGTTTTACATGATTTATATACTTTAATGTTAAAGTAAAGTAAGGAAAGTTTGAATAAATACTCGTTAGGATCACGTGCGATGATGATAACTTGGTAGTAAACAGTTCGAAAAACAGTACAACTTAAATCTCCATTCGGAGTCTCAAAAGTATTGGAATAAATTAGTGGTCTCAATTAGCGTAGAAGTTTGTTTCTCTAATTTTAATCTAAGCATTCAGATTGTGAAAATTGTTGGTAGTATGTAGTATCTGAGGGGTAGAGGTAGTGTCTCCACTATTGGAATTATATGTACATTTTCTTTGCAGTCATCGACAGTCATTGGCAGCCTTGCGGCAGTCGCCTATAATAATTATATGGTAGTCAGAGGCAGTCTTCGTCGCAGTCATTGGTAGTCGCAGTACGCAAGGGATAATAGGTAACAAAAAAGTAATAAAATTGTGGTTAGAAATAAACATTTTACTTAATAAATTAATTATTAGGCTTTCCCTAGGGATACAACAGACTACCGCAAGCTGTTGCTGGTTATTCTATTTATTTTAATTATATTTTTCATATTTTAAGGGACGAACTCTTAAATATGAGGTATAATTAAAACCACTTATTTATTCCTCTAATTTTAAGGTTCACAATGATTAATCCAAAATTATTAGTTAGAAAATATCAGGTATTTTGAAAAAGGTTGCATCGAAAAAAAGACAGGCCTAGGATTTTTAAATTTATATTTATTTAGTAGGTAAATTGGACTTTTTTAATTGAATTTTTTTTATTTTTAATAAACTAGAAATTTTAACCGCATGTTTCATATATGGTTGTTACAAAATATAACCGCAATAACATATTTTTTCCTATAACATGTTTTTTAAATATCGGGAATGGAATGTAAATAAACCCGGCGAATCTAAGTAATATTACACAAATTCCTTGTAAAACGAGTAAAGGATGATTCACGGTACACCGTGACGGGCCGGAGCCATGCGACGGTGAAGGCACGGCCAAACATTGTCAAATGTTATTTATACTTATACATTCATGCTAAGCCGAGCACGGTCCGAGCTTCGCCGGAACGCGTCCGTGCCGCGTCCAAGAAATGTCGGTGTACATTTTTCTTCGGATCCGCTACGTTCCGGTCCCGTTGCGGCAAACATAAATGAGCCGCGGCGGTGCACGGCCCCAACATTCTCCGATTTCAGACTGCAGCATAGTTGCCAACTTGAGAGAAAATTACATCAACACGGACATGATCCCCGTTGTCTACTTGGTGTAGCATATATTGAAGGTTCGGACGTGGCTCGATGTCTACTTCACGGAACGTGCCCGGCTCGGGCACGGTCCGGTGTACCGTGAATCATCCTTAACGCGCGATTGTCACTATAACGTACCGTCACCGTTAGTAGCCGGCGCGCGGCGGCAGGACGTGACGGTGGCGGTACGTTATAGATAGAACTGCGCCTAATATTTGCAAGCTTTAAAGATTAAAGTTTATATACCAGGATATTCGATAGAATTCAGAGGCAAAAAATTGGTTTAAGCGATAGTGTACATCAGTTCAGATGAAATTATCTGTATTAAATTTTCCCAGATATACAGGGTGTCCCAGGCTGAGCGTGCATTAGAAGTTTCTAGATAACTACAACTTCTAGCTCGGAGATTTTTTGTACATCATAATTTCATAACAAGATCTATCGATTAAAAATATTTTCAATATGGCGGCACTTCCGGAAATACCGGAAGTTCACAGCAACTTTCTTATTTTAAATGGGTGCCCCCATTTTTTATTGTGTACTTAAATTCTCTGTAAAATTTTATGAATTTTGATATTAAACACTTTATATCTAACATTAACCGTTTTTGAGAAAACAAATAGTTAAAATTTTTGGAAAGGAAAAAAACTGCCTGTCAAAAATATTTGTTTAGCCTAAACGTCAAACTTAGTGATTACCACAGCCACTGTGCCATAAAGAGAAAACATGTGGCTATCTATTTCAAAAATTAAATTGTTCGAATGTCATATAGTAATGGCCGCAGCTGTCATAGAATTGAGCGATTAAAAAATTTTCATAAATCATCTTTTTCAAATCGAAACCCACTTTTTTTATTTCACTGGTGAAAAGACTTTTCAATTCGTTACTTTTTAACTATACATGTTCCTATACCTAAAATAAATCGTTTTTGAGTTATTTAAGATTCAGTTTTAAAGCGTATATTTTTTTCGATTTTAACCAGTAGCCTATGACCAGTAGCCATGTTATCTGTGCTATGACTTTAAACGTCAAGTGATGTAAAACAATAGATCTGGCCTGTGACGCTTTGTTTAAAGAGCAGCATCATTTTCGAGCCAACTTTGAGCTGTGTTTTTTTTTCGATCATACATACATTTGAATATTATTAATAATATCAAATATCAACTATCACTAAAGAGCGAAAATACGAGATATATTTATAAAAATAATTATAATAATAATATTTATAAAAATATATCTCGTATTTTCGCTCGATTTTTATAAATATATTCAAATAATTCGTTTTCTGACAGATGGAAATAAATTGTCTGGCCGCCTAGATGAAATCAAGAAAAATATACGTTTTCAAACTCAATCT